GGGTGACCTTATTTTTTATATTATAGTCTACTATCATTTTTATATTTTATAAAAATAATTTGTAAACCACTCTCTAAATGTATTTTTTTTTTCTTAATGTTATTTTATTTTTTATTGTAATGAATTAATTTATTATATAAAATGTTATTTCGTTTATGTATGTCTTGAATTATTTTTTCAATGTGTATGTATGTATGTCATCATTTTGGTTAAATAATAATAATTTTTGGTTTTCAGTATTGACAAGTATTTCTGTGTTTGTTGTCTGTAGAGTTGGTTTTGTTGGAGCGTAAGTCCGCATCTGATGTACGGCTGATGCTGAAGACTATGCTGCCAGATTCTGAAAGGAGACAAGGTCTAATTCAAGAGCTCATTCAGTCCAACAGCCAACTAAAGTGAGTCTAGCTTTCATAAATTCGCAGTCAATATGCTTGAATATGCCTCTAATGTAATAGCGGTCTCCGAAAAATGGATATGATAATGTTTAGTACAATCAATTTCATGATCCCTGTGAAGGGTCATACTTCACCCCAAAATTATAAAAAAAAAATAATATAAAAATGAAAAGTTATATTTCGCATAAAGAATGTGAAGCCTATTTTAAGATTTTTTTGCTTTGTGATATTATTTTTTATGACAGTTAAACACATTTTCCCCTCAATTCACATTATTGAAATGCCTAACAAAACCTAGTTATCAGTAGTCTAAGTCTCATTATTGTTGGGCAATATTATAGTTTTTTTTAAATCATATTTAACAACAAAAAAAGTAGAAAAACAAATAATATTTACCATCATTTTGGTTATCAGCCATATTCATAAAGTAATTCAGATCATTCATAATTAAATAGTTACATGAAAAATATGTATTAATAAAATTTGAAAGATTTGTACATGATGGTTGTACTAAATAGCATTTTTGTTGATTTTAATTTTTAAAAGGTTATTTAAAGCATTCCCTGATCACATTTCACCCCAAAATCAAATGAAACACATATGATGATAAATAACATATTTCGTTTAAAGAAAATCTGGTATATTTTTGGAGCCATTACAAATGTTTGGACTGTGACATTGTTTTCATTACTGTAATGTAAAAAAAATGAGTGCTGTCAAACGATTAATCGCATCCAAAATAAAACTTTTTGTT